GCAGGAGGGCCCGGCTGCGTCTCCAGGCCCCTGAGGAGGGCTGCTTCGGAGGAACTGCAGGGCAGCCTGGCCCGGAGGCCTCCCTGGAGCCACTCAAGCGGAGAGCGGCGCCTGCTGAGGGCAGCACCCCAGTCAAGAGAGGAGCACGGAGCCAAAGCAAGGCGGCAGGGGGAGGTAAGCTTGCCCCCGCACACGTCGGCCCCTTTCTCGTCTGTCTGTCTCTGCCCTCTGCACGTCCTCACCTGCCTGTCTTCAGTGGGCCGCGAGCAGAGGCCTTGTACTTACGGGAAGGAGGAGGCAATCTGTTTCTGACCCACACGAGCGGTCACTCCGGTGATGCACTTGAGGACACGCTACGCTGAAATCAGTTGCCAGGTGAGAACATTTGATTTCGGAGTAGGAGAGGAGGCAGGAGGCAGGATAATGACACTGTTATACCACGTGAAACTCGCAAGGGGGCAGCCTTGGAGCTGGGAACGGAGGCTGGCCGGAAAAGATGTTTCAGCCGGGGAGGGAAAATGCAAGGTCCCGCAGTGATGGGCAGCGGCCACGCAGTTGACTCTTGAACAACGTGGGGATGGGGTGCCGAACCCCCACGCAGTGGGAAATCTGTGCATAACTTTGACTCCCCCCAAAGTTCAACTACTAATAGCCTATTGTTGACCAAAAGCTTTACTCAGTATATAAACAATTGAGTAAGACAATTTGAAGCCAGACACAGTGGCTTATGCCTGTAATCCCAGCACTTTTAGGAGGCTGAGGCGGGAAGACTGCTTGAAGCCAGGAGTTCAAGACCAGCCTGGGCAACATAGTGAGACCCCCACCTTTACAAATAATAAAAATAAAAATAATTAGTTGGGCGTGGTTGTGCGTGCCTGTAGTCCCAGCTACTCAGGAGGCTGAGGTGGGAGGATTGCTTGAGCCCAGGATCGAGGCTGCAATGAGCCGTGATCGCACCACTGCACTCCAGCCTGAGTGACAGAGCAAGACCCTGTCTCTGGAAAAAAAAAAGAAAAAAGACATATTTTGTATGTTATATGTATTATGTGCTGTATTCTTACAAGAAAGTAAGCTAGAGAAAAGTACATGTTACTGAAAACATTATTAGAAAGAGAAAATACCTTCACAGCACTGTGCTGTATTTATTCATACCGTAAGTTTATGCTGTCTGTTTATAAGAGAAAGTGGCTGTCTGAAGCAGCAGTAACCACAGCTGCAGATCTCAATCTATGGTAGATATCAAGCAGTTCAACCCTTTTTTGTAATGTTGTAATTTTTCTTTGCTTCTTGGAAGCAGTCTGGCATCACTAGCAGCCCCGCATATGAGGCCCAGGGGGTTATTCAGAGTTTACCGTATTGCACTAAACGTGGTGAAAAATACGCAATAACTACGAGACATCGCTTTTTACTTCTATACACAATGTGCTGGTGAGAACTGCTCACCAGGAGACGATTAGCTTCACGTGGTGTTTTAAGCAGATACTCAACAGCTGAGCTCACGGAGACAGCACAGGAGGTGGCTACGAAATTATTACAGGAGTATAGTATATCTACAGTAACTATGTGCTTATGACTTAATACTGCACATCTTTATGTTTGCTTGCATTTCTCTTGACTTCAAATGGCACCAAGTAGAGTTTGTGTTTGTGTGCGTATATTTTTGATAAATTTTAACTTTTTTTTTTTTTTTTTTTTTAGACGGAGTCCTACCCTGTCTCCCAGGCTGGAGTACAATGGTGTGATCTCGGCTCACTGCAACCTCTGCCTCCCGGCTTCAAGCAATTCTCCTGCCTCAGTCTCCCAAGTAGCTGGTATTACAGGCACCCACCACCACACCTGGCTAATTTTTTGTATTTTAAGTAAAGATGGGGTTTTGCCATGTTGGCCAGTCTTGTCTCGAACTCCTGACCTCAGTTGACCCACCCGCTTCGGCCTTCCAAAGTGCTGGGATTACAGGCATGAGCCACGGTACCCGGCCAATTTTAACTTTCTATAAGTGATTTACCCAACCTGGGCAACATGGCGAAACCCTGTCTTTACCAAAAATACAAAAAAATTAGCTGGGCATGGTGGTGTATGCCTACTTGGGAGGCTGAGGTGGGAGGATGGTTTGAGCCTGGGAGGCGGAGGTTGCAGTGAGCCGAGATCATGCCATTGTAGTGAGTCGATATTATGCCATTGCACTCTAGCCTGGGCAATAGAGCCAGATCCTGTCTCAAAAACAAAAAACAAACAAACAAAAAAAAGCTTTGCATCCATTTTGTGGCAGTAAATGATAAGATAGACTAGTACCTACATATATTTTTTGCATTCGTGACATACCTAACTTTTGCTTAATTTTTAAAATATATGTCTAGGCTTGTGGTTCCTCTGTAAGCTTTTATCAAATTGTTGCAAATCTCTGAAAATGTTTCCAATATATTTACTGAAAAAAAAATCCACAAGTAAGTGGACCTGCACATTCAAACCTGTGCTATTCAAAGGTCAACTATATAGTCTGTAATATGTGATAGGTGCCATGCTGAGTGTCTGCAATGAGTGTTGTCTCACTTCAGCTTCACACAACCTTGTGGTTTAGCCATGTGACTTCTGTGCAGATGGGTGGGTGTTCACTACACGAGGGTACTGGGCAGAGGGGCAAACACTGCCTAAATTCTAGCCTGTGCTTTGTTCAGCAAGCCACATGCCTGTCTTGCTTGCATCAAGGGAAGGAGTATTGTGTTCTAATTTGAAGAAATGCACCAGCCACTCCTTAGGCAGCACTTGGTGCGGGGTGGGCTCCTCTGGAAAGGGAGCACCCAGTTTGCACAAAGGTGCTGCACCAGGTAGCTGCGATCCTGGAACAGGATGAAGAAAGTTGCCTGAGGCCCTACAGCAAGGACAGGGTAAAAGCAGGATGTGATCCTTCCAAGCGGGACCCCCAAGGGCCAGGGGATATTTGGGAAACCTGGGCGTGTGGAAGTTAACCCTGTATTTGTGGTCCATTTTGCAAAGGATGGCATCCCAAATCCATGAGAGGGAGGGCAGAGGGGAGTGGCTGTGGCTGTGAAGGAGACAGACACCTGGGCACCTGCTCTAAGTGACAGCAATGCCATGCACATGATGATGTATTGGAGCACAACAAATGGCAGCCACCAGCTGGCGTGCACACACCAATTTCTACAAATGAGCTCTGTTCGGGCTGAAATGTCTACGCATCCAAGGATTGTTCTTGTAACTGATGATATACCCCCAACACCCAGAAGAGAGACTGGCACACAGTAGGTGCTCAGTAAATGTTTGCTCAATGAATAAATGAATGCCTCTACTGGCCTTCCAAAGAAAGTTCTACATCTGTTTTATCAATATGGAAACAGGCCAGAGAAATTAAGTAACTTCTTTTGGAAGCCAGTAACAAGCCCGACCCCTGTGCAGTGACAACACCAGGGAATTTCAGTAAAACCCCAAACTCCACCCCAGGGAGCCCCAGTGCCTCCTCCCGCACCGTGGGGCGCCAGGGCCCACTCACTTTGGCTCCTGCTCCACAGCCCCTGCTGGGTACTGGGCTGCTTCTCCCTGTTCCTCCTGCCTCCTCCCACTTAGGGCAAATCCAGTGCCTCCCTGGGACCCAGGAGACTCAGTGAGATCCACCCCAGGTGCCTCTCACTCCTGTGAGACCCAAACCTCCTATCACCAAACCCAGCAGGTCAAGCCTGTGTACCCATGACTCCCCCACCCCAGTGTTCCCTCCAGTGGCTCTTTGCCTTTTCAGTATCCATGTCTTCATGAGCCTTCCTCTACATCCCCCAAGCCCTCACCACCAAACGTAATGTAAACAGCATGACAGCAAAAACTTTTCGTTCACGACTGCGGGGTTTTTTTTTTTTTAGACAGGGTCTCACTCTTGCTCAGGCTGGAGTGCAGTGACACAGTCATGGCTCGCTGCAGCCTTGAATTCCTGGGCTCCAGCGATTCTTCCACTTCAGCTTCCCAAGTAGCTGGGACCACAGGCACATGCCACTACACCCAGCTAATGTCTTTTTTCTTTCTTTCCTGTTTTTTTTTTTTTTTTCCCTGTGGACACAGGGTCTCCCTATGTTTCCCAGGCTGGTCTCAAACAACCTGTGGTCAAGCAATCCTCCCACCTCAGCCTGCCAAAGTGCTAAAATTACAGACCTGAGCTGCCGTACACAGCCTGCTGCTGTACTTGTAACAGCTTAATTGAGATATTATGTACATATCATCAAATTCACCAATGTTAAGTGTACAATTCGATGATTTTTAGTAAATTGACTCAGGTGTGGGTCCATTACCACCAGCTAGTTTTAGAACATTTTCATGACCCTAGTAAAATCCTTCATGTTTGGCCGGGCGCGGTGGCTCACGCCTGTAATCCCAGCACTTTGGGAGGCCGAGGCGGGCGGATCACGAGGTCAGGAGATCGAGACCATCCTGGCTAACACGGTGAAACCCCGTCTCTACTAAAAATGCAAAAAAAATTAGCCGGGCGAGGCGGCGGGAGCCTGTAGTCCCAGCTACTCGGGAGGCTGAGGCAGGAGAATGGCGTGAACCCGGGAGGCGGAGCTTGCAGTGAGCCGAGATCACGCCATTGCACTCCAGCCTGGGCGACTAAGCGAGACTCTGTCTCAAAAAAAAAAAAAAAACAAAAACCTTCATGTTCATTTAAATTTAATATTGGGCCAGGCAGGGTGGCTCACGCCTATAATCTCAGCACTTTGGGAGGCTGGGGCGGGTGGATCATCTGAGGTCAGGAGTTCAAGACCAGCCTGGCCAACATGGCGAAACCTCATCTCTACTAAAAATACAAAAATTACCTAGGCGTGGTGGTGGACACCTGTAATCCTAGCGCCCTGGGAGGCTGAGGCATGAGAATCTCTTGAACCTGGGAGGCAGAGGTTGCAGTGAGCCAAGATCGCACCATCGCACTCCAGCCTGGGTGACAGAACAAGACCCTGTATCAGGAAAAAAAAAAAAAAAAAAAGGAAAAAACCAACTTAATTTTCATTTCGATCTCCATCCCCCAGACAACCACGAATCTACTTTCTGACTCTATAACTTTGCCTAATCTGGACATATCATATAAATGAAATCTGACAATATATGGTCTTTTATGTCTGGCTTGTTTTACTCAGCATAAGGCTGTAGTGTATATGGGTAGCTCATTCCTTTTTATTGCCAAATAGAATTCCAGTATATGGATGTGCCACCTTTCTTTATTCACTCACCAGCTGATGGGCTGCCAGGTGATATTTCCACTGTTGGCGACTATGACCAACACTGCTGGGAACATTTAGGACTGAGTCTTTAAGTGGACCTGAGTTTCCACTTCTCTTAAGTAAATACCTACGGTGGAATTGTTGGATCGCATGGTGAATGTATGTTTAACTTTTTAAGCAACTGCCACCTGCTTTCCAAAGCGGGGGCACCACCTCCCATTATTCTCACCAGCAGCGAATGAGGCCCCTGTTTCTCCACATTCTCGCCAACCATAGGCATTGTCTGACTTTTTGCTTGTGGCCATTCTAGTGGGTGTGAAATCATATCTCATCGTGCCCCGTGATTGTTTGAATGAACTAAGAGATCACCCGTGAAACTGGACAGCACTTGGGTTTGAACCCTGGTGGTGACATTTCACAAGCTGTATCACCTGGAACAAGTGACTTCACCACGGTGAGGGACAAGGATATGACATAAAAGCGTTGCTCTAGAAGCAAAGTGTCTGCTACGGATTATGTGCCCACGAAAAGGCAGCTGCTGTCATCATCGCCACCACTGCTATTATTATTATTATTATTATTATTGTTATTATTATTATTATTATCACCCCAGAGATAATCCTGAACCAATGACAGGGAAAATAGCAGCTGGCATCAGCTGCCCACTCACCACCACATGCCAGGCTCCCGTCAAAGCATTCGACATGTATTAGTAGTCTTTTAATCTACCTACATATTGTTTTAATTTACATGTGTTAATGCGTTGATCTATGAGATGACTACCATGACGAGCTCTGTTCTGTAGGGGAGAAAGCAGAGACGTGGAGAATTTGTCATTTCCCCCAAATCACAAAGTCGGAAAGGAACAGACCTCACGGAGCTCGCTCTCTGTCATTGCATCACACTTCCTGCCCTTACAAGGCAAATTGGATAAGTGCCATTCTAGAGAAGCAGACAAAATTCAAGTGGAGAAGAGGGGAGGGGAAGACGTTGGCTGGGGCCTGTTTAGAGCATCCCAGCTGAGGCTGCATGAGAAGGGAGGCACGCAGTTGTGGAATTTGCTCCCCTTTTTGCATACCGACCAGCCCTGGCAACGGAGCTCAAGGCATCTTTGTGCCACTGCTCAACAGTGAGTGACGTCATGGGCACGACCAGGTCTTTATCAGTTCTGCTGGATAAATAGCCAACCGCACTAGGTCCGGAGAGACAGCAAGGTGCTGTGCGGCGGAGCATTTGGGTCTCAAAGCAGCAGGTGAGCCTGGGCCCGAGGGGCTGGGTGGAGGAGCATCTTGGTGCTTCTCTGCTGGGGAAGAGACAGGGGACAGGGCATGCTTAGGAAGACAGGCAGGCTGACCCCGCCTGGAAGGCACCTGGAGACAAGAGGGGTGGGCATGGTGACCACGTGCCCCTTTGGGTGAGATGGTGCTGGCCAGAGGCAGGAAGGCCCCCTGCTACCGACTCCTTGTCTCTCTCACCAGTGGCCACCACCATGGGTGCAGGCCCCGACCAGTCCTATTTCTCCGGCAATCACTGGTTCGTCTTCTCGGTGTACCTCCTCACCTTCCTGGTGGGGCTCCCCCTCAACCTGCTGGCCCTGGTGGTCTTCGTGGGCAAGCTGCGGCGCTGCCCGGTGGCCGTGGATGTGCTCCTGCTCAACCTGACCGCCTCGGACCTGCTCCTGCTGCTGTTCCTGCCCTTCCGCATGGTGGAGGCGGCCAGTGGCATGCGCTGGCCCCTGCCCTTCATCCTCTGCCCGCTCTCTGGATTCATCTTCTTCACCACCGTCTATCTCACTGCCCTCTTCCTGGCCGCTGTGAGTGTTGAGCGCTTCCTGAGCGTGGCCTACCCACTATGGTACAAGACCCGGCCGAGGCTGGGACAGGCGGGTCTGGTGAGTGTGGCCTGCTGGCTGTTGGCCTCTGCTCACTGCAGCGTGGTCTACATTGTGGAATTCTCGGGGGACACCTCCCACAGCCAGAGCATCAATGGGACCTGCTACCTGGAGTTCCGGAAGGACCAGCTAGCCTTCCTCCTGCCCGTACGGCTAGAGATGGCCGTGGTCCTCTTTGTGGTCCCCCTGATCATCACCAGCTACTGCTACAGCCGCCTGGTGTGGATCCTCGGCAGAGGGGGCAGCCACCGCCGGCAGAGGAGGGTGGCGGGGCTGGTGGCAGCCACACTGCTCAACTTCCTTGTCTGCTTTGGGCCCTACAACATGTCCCACGTTGTGGGCTATATCTGCGGTGTAAGCCCGGCATGGAGGACCTACGTGATGCTTCTCAGCACCCTGAACTCCTGTGTTGACCCCTTTGTCTTCTACTTCTCCTCCTCCAGATTCCAAGCCGACTTTCATGAGCTGCTGAGGAGGCTGTGTGGGCTCTGGGGCCAGTGGCAGCAGGAGAGCAGCGTGGAGCTGAATGAGCAGAAGGGAGGGGAGGGGAAGAGAGAGGACCGTCCAGCTGAAGGAAAGAGCAGTGAACACTCACTGGGCTCTGGAACTGGTGGCCAGGTGGCCTGTGCCAAAAGCTAGGTCCTCTGCAGCAGGAGGGTGTAGCTGGCATGTCATCCTCAGGGCACTTTCTCGCTCACGCCAGGGACTTGGAGTGGCGAGCTGGGGCCCGATGGGGCTTGGGGGCAGAATTGACATCTAGCCTTCCTAAGGGTGTGCGCACTAAAGCCCAGCTCTCTATCTCACCTCCATCCCCATCCACCCACACACCATGGATTGGGCTCTGGAAAGGGGTCAGGGTGAGAGGCTGCTCTGGAGAACAATGAGGTTCTCGTAGCAGCAGGCAGCTCTTGTGCTTTTTTGAGGGTGGCAGAGGAGCTAAGAGCAGTGCCCAGGGTCTGAGGGGGCTGCCCAGTGAGTGACAGGGGCAGGAGAGGGAAGAACCCTATCCTCAGAGCTGCTCCTAGCCAGCGAGTCAGGAGCGGGGGAGACAGGGCGCCAGGAATGAGGCCACATTCTGCTCCCACAGTGCCTTTTTCAGAAAGTTCCCATTGCTCAATAAATCTGGATCATCAGAGTCATTTATGAACAATGACAGAAGAAAAATTACCCAAATAAATGTGGAAGCAAGCAAAAGAGAACAGTGTTTCCTTTTCTCCGGTTTTGTTCTGGTGGTGTGCTTGGGCCGGGTGGGACTGGTGGATGGAAGGAGAAAACACCAGACTCCAGAGGAAAAGGGCCAAACACCAGGATGCCTGGATGCTGGGAGAGGATCTGGCTTGCAGGGATGAAAATAACAGCTGCCCTGTCTAAAGGACTTAGCCTGACACATCATCTCCTTCTATCTCTCAATAGCCCTGTGGTAGGTACCAACATTATCCCCAGTTTCAGATGAGGGAGTGACCCAGAGAAGTGACATCTCCTACCTGAGATCCCATAGCTGGTGGGTGATTGAAGTGGGACCAGAAGCTGGCATCAGTGGGCTCTGACACTCATGCCCCTAAGCCACTCTGCTGGTCTCCAGCTTTGTGTCACCTGTGGTCACCTAACCCAGTCAAATGTCCCAAGTCAGATGAGGCCATCTGAGCAGGACAAATGTAAACAGGCCATGATAAGAAACAGAACTGAATGCAAAGCATATTGGCTATCTGTGTGGGTTCAACCTTTTCCCAGTAAAAAAAGTCCTCTTGGAAAGAAATTAAAAAGATTATTAGTCAGTACAATGGACTTCAGGTTTCTGCAAAGTCAGAAGGATGTTCCTCAGAGCTCTATTCATCAAAGTGTGGCCATTCAGGAAGTTTTCATGTTCCCCGAGTGGTGGCCCATGAGAAATAGCTGCTCAGGACCTCCTCCCCAACCTGAGACTCACCAGCCCCTGTTTGCGTGCTGTCGGCAGTATTTCAGAAGCATTTGTTGAACACCTATTGCATGCAGACAGCTGGGCTCAGAACGCTGGGGAGTTCGACACCATGGTCTTTAAATATCTGCTTCCTCCCTGGGGTTAAGTATGCTGGAAGAATGAGGACGGGCTGTGTGTGGAGAACGGGATTTCAGGTGGGAGGAGAGGGACTCTGTGGAGAGTTGAAGCCACGAGCTGTCTCTCGGTCCCATGGCTCACCTGTCCATCCCCGGGGCACTCAGCCCTGGTGGCTGCAAAGAAGTTGATGCAAGTAGGGGTCTTCATGGCTCAGAAAGGGGACAAAGCTGCTGTGGAATCCTGCAACTTCAGAATGGGCACTGCCACCCCAAGGCAGAGAACAGAAAAGCTGAAAACGCCACAGTGGAAAGAGAGCCATGAAGAGCTGGAGTCTCACTCCTCTCCCAGGGTTTATAAGAGGGAATCAGAGGCAGCTTCATGGGCTTTGCTGTCCCCAGCCATTGCCCAGCTCAGACCAGTCTGTATAAGCAAAAGCCCAGGGGTGGTGAAGATGAAAAGCCATCAGGGTGTGAGCGATCGTGGGAGTGGGGGTGAGCATTTTCCTTACATCTCAGAAGCCAAGGGAAAGGGGCTGTCAGAGAACGGGAGAGGGAGGGAGATGGCATCTTTGGAGGGAGGTGGTGATAGCCTGAGACCCTCTTGCTGTCCCCGCTGAAGCCTGGTAACTGGAGCTGCCAGGCCGCACAGAGAGAGGCTGATGATGGGGGACCTGGAACTCGGAAGGGGCCGAGTGGTCAGGTGACCCACACATGCCTGAGAAAACAGATGTGGAGAGGTTGTGTTGTCATTCTGAGGGAGGAAACAGACAGACAGTCAGACAGAGGCATGGGCACAGTGAGAGACACAGACAGAATCATAGAGCAGAGCTGGCTTCTCACCGGAGAGAGCGTCCGGAGAGGTTAGAAATCTTCCTTAGGTCCTCCTGGGAGGTCCAAGTGACCCCACCGGGGAGCTGAACAGCCGACGGGATTCCCGGGGTTGAGGGAAGGAAGCTGCGTAGCCGGCTGGGGCCGAATCCCCTGTGCCTCAGGGAGGGACACCCAATATTTCCAGCCACGCACACCGGGAAGAGTCCTTGGAGTTGAGGCCACTGCCTGGGTCCTCCAGTGCCGGCCAGCGGAGGTTGCTCCCGTCCCTTGCCTTCCTCCTCCCCATCCTTCCGCCAGCCCTGGAATGACTTATTCCTGACAGAGAAGAAAAAATAAGCAACTTGGAAAATGCATCTTAAGGTATAATTCAGGAAAATGTCCCCAATCTTGCTAAAGAGGTCAACATGCAGATATAAGAAATTCAGGGTATGCCTATACAAAATGACCATCCCCAAGGCACATAGTCATGAGACTACATGGAAGAAAAATATCTTTAAGGAAGCTAGAGAAAAGAGCCAAATTACCTATAAAGGGAGTCCACTCAGAATAACAGTGGACTTCTCAGCAGAAGTCTTACAATTCAGAAGAGATTGGGTGCCATTTTTAGGCTTCATTTTTTTGATGGAGTCTTGCTCTGTCGCCCAGGCTGGAGTGCAGTGGCGTGATCTTGGCTCACTGCAACCTCTGCCTCTGGGTTCAAGCAATTCTCCTGCCTCAGCCTCCCAAGTAGCTGGGATTACAGGCATGCACCACCATGTCCAGCTAAATTTTTTTGTATTTTTAGTAGAGACAGGATTTCACCATATTGGCCAGGCTGGTCTCAAACTTCTGACCTTGTGATCCACCCGCCTCAGCCTCCCAAAGTGCTGGGATTACAGGTGTAAGCCACTGCTCCCAGCCTTCTAGGCTTCTTAAAGAAAAAATGCCAGCCAAGAATTTCATATCCTACCAAAGTAAGCATCACAAAGGAGAAATAAACTCTTTCCCTGACAATCAAATGCTAAGAGAATTCATCACCACCAGACTGGTCCTATAAGAAATGCTCAAAGCAACTCTAAACGTGAAAACAAAAGAATGATACTCGCTACCACAAAAGCAAACTTAAGTACAAAGCCCACAGACCCTATAAAGCAACTACACAATCAAGACTACAAAGTAACTAACAACACTATGATAAATCACAACCGGAACAAAACCTCACATATTAACCTTGAACGTAAATGGCCTAAACACTCCACTTAAAAGACATAGCGTGGAAAACTGGATTAAAAAAATGAGACCCTACCTTCTGCTGTCTTAAAGAGACCCATCTCACATATAACGACACCCAAACCCTCAAAAGGATGGAGAAAGGTCTTTCACACAAATGGAAAACAAAGGGTTGCTATTGTTGTATGAGATAAAACAGACTTTAAACCAACAATAGTAAAAAAGCACAAATAAGGGCACTTCCTAATGATAAAGGGTTCAATTAAACAAGAAGATTTAACATCCTGTTTATATAAGCACCCAACACCGGAGTACCTAGATTTATAAAACAATTACTACTATACCTAAGAAAAGAGATGGACAGCCACACTTCAGCAGCCATTGACAGCATTAGACAGATCATTGAGGCAAAAAACTAACAAAGAAATTCTGGACTTAAATTGGATACGTGATCAAATGGACCTAATAGACATCTACAGAATACTCCAACGACCACAAAATATATGTTCTTCTCATCTGCACACAGAACATACTCTAAGATTGACCCAATGCTTAGTCACAAAGCAAATCTCCATAAATTTAAAGAAATGAAAATCATACCAACCATCTTCTCAGACCACAGTGGAATAAAAATAGAAATCAATACCAAAAGGAATTCTCAAAATCACACAAATACATGGAAACTAAACAACTATTTCCTGAATGACTTTAGGGTAAGTCATTAAGGAAGAAGTCAAATAATTAAGGCAGAAGTCAAAAAATGCTTTGAAACAACTGAAAATAGAGGCACAACATACCAAAACCTCTGGGATACAGCAAAAGCAGTTTTAAGAGGAAAGTTTATATCACTAAATGCCTACATCAAGAAGTTAGAAAGCTCTCAAATTAATAACCTAACATTACACCTAAAGGAACTAGAAAAACAAGAGCAAACTAAATCCAAAGCTAGTAGAAGAAAAGAAATAACTAAAATCAGAGTAGAGCTAAATGAAATTGTGACCAATAAGCCATTCAAAGGATCAATGAAATGAAAAATTGGTTATTTGAAAGAATAAAGAAGATTTATAGGCTGCAAGCTAGATTAACAAAGGAAAAAAAACCTCCAAAAAAGCAAATGAGAAATAACACAAGCAACATTACAGCTAATTCCACAGAAATACAAAAGATCCTTAGAGACTGCGATGAACATCTATATTCACATGAACCAGAAAATCTAGAGGAAACAAATAAATTCCTGGAAACACACAACCAAGATTGAATCAGAAAGAAATTGAAACCCTGAACAGACCAATATTGAGTTACAAAATTGAATAAGTAATAAAATACCTACCAACTTTATTTTTTTTTTTAATTTTTATTTTTTTTTTTTTGAGACGGAGTCTCGCTCTGTCGCCCAGGCTGGAGTGCAGTGGCCTGATCTCAGCTCACTGCAAGCTCCGCCTCCCGGGTTCACGCCATTCTCCTGCCTCAGCCTCCCGAGTAGCTGGGACTACAGGCGCCCGCCACCTCGCCCGGCTAGTTTTTTTTTTGTAGTTTTTAGTAGAGACGGGGTTTCACTGTGTTCACCAGGATGGTCTCGATCTCCTGACCTCGTGATCCACCCGTCTCGGCCTCCCAAAGTGCTGGGATTACAGGCTTGAGCCACCGTGCCCGGCCGAAATACCTACCAACTTTAAAAAGCCCTTGACCAGACGGATTCACAGCCAAACTCTACCAGACCTGCAAAGAAGAGATGGTACAAATCCTACTGAAACTATATCAAAAAATTGAGGAGGAGAGATTCCTCCCTAACTCATTCTACAAAAACAGTCTCATTCTGATATCAGAATCTGGCAGGACACAGTGAAAAAAGAAAACTATGGGCCAATAGCCCGATGAACATAGATCCAAAAATCCTCAACAACATACTAGCAAACCAAATCTAGCAGCACGACAAAATCATAATTCAGCATGATCAAGTGGGTTTTATTCCTGGGATGCAAAGATGGTTCAATATATGCAAATCAATAAATGTGACTCACCATATAAACAAAATTAAAAATGAAATTATATGATCATCTCAATAGATGAAGAAAAAAAGTATAATAAAATCCAATATCCTTCATGATAAAAACCCTCAAAAAAC